TTGTACTCACACTTGTCTCAAATTACCCCAATTTTAGCTCAGTATTTCAACAACAAAAAATCGCCTCGCCGCCTCATTTTAAAATTTCCATGAAACAAGAAACGGAGAATTTTTTTTCCTGGCCTAAACTACTGTATTTTTATTCTTTATACATTTCTACAGGAAGTAAATTCTACTACCATAAATGATTCTTACCTTAATGCCTTCAAGATTGACTCTATTCCACCAAATACTAGAAGCTGTAACATTTTAGCTCAAAATCAATATATTGCTAGCTTTCTATGGTGATGTATTATCAGTCAGGTCTACAGAGACGGCAGTGCAAAACAGCATCAAGAGTGATCATCAAACTGCACTTAGAAAATATGAACTGATGATATATGTGTATTTTTATTACAAATGAAATTCCTTGTCCCAAAATTCAGCAGAATTTGGGAACCGTTGTATACAATCCATTTGTGTAACTTTGTTATCAACCACTTTAATGGGTTAAAAATAAAAGTGCGCCCTCTGTAGGTGAAGTGGTCACTTAAGGTTTTTTAATCAACCATGATGAAAGTTGCACAGATCTTCGCACAGATCATTGAAACATTAGTTCTTCATATCAACATTATATTCTTGAGTATCTCTTTGTGATAAAGGATATCTCTTCTTCTGCCAAAATGGGGGTTTCTTTGAGGGTCCAGGAAGCACAATTTCTACTTAATGTAATCCGTTTTGTTGAAGCATAGACTGTCTGTGGTTGAAGTCAACTATTAGTTGATCTATTAGAAGAGCATATGGCTTGAGTAAATTACAAAAGTGTTTCTATGGTCCATATAAGTATTATTTTAATGAATCAAAATACAACAAATGCAATTTTTGGTCTATACAATGTGAAGTTCTTCTCACAGAGCAAATACAGCACCGTAGTTGAGTATAAACCCCTGCTTGAGTATAAGCCCCCCCCCCCTCCAAATTTACAGCATTTTACAAAAAGCCCCCCAACCCCAGCAAAATTATTTGGTATGTGAATAACGGTAGTTCCCTTTCTGAAGGATGTGGTGGCGCTGAAAAGTACCATTTGATTTGTGTTTGCACAGTATACGCAAACGTTAATGTACTTCCACTTTGAAATAAGTTTCGTGTAGTACCAGATTGTGGAGGTATGTACGGGTATCCCAAAAGCACATCTGTGGGTGTGTTTTGCAGGCATGCAGAAGCCATAACACTAATGTCTGCGTGTGTTTCATGTTTTGTTACCCCAAAGCGTACAGATCTATATTCACATAAAACTGGGTTGAATGCTGTTCCACTTAGTAAACGCACCCAAGAGTGATTAGTGACCCCGGGGCATAACGGCCAATCCTCAAGTTAATTTCTAGTATCGTACACACAACAATTTGTTTATAAATAAATTAGCATAAATTATCGCTCGGGAGAAGTTTTAACTTTTATTCGTTTATAAGCCCCCCCCCCCTAATTTTTTAGAAATTTGCCGTTTTCCTGGAGGGGTTTATACTCGGACAACTACGGTACATGCACAAGTCATTGCAACACATTTAAAATGCACGCAATATATATAATGCTTGGAAAAAAAACATTCTTAATGTCCATGAAATTTAGTGTACCCACAGTAGTATGAAACTATATGTATTACCGGTAGATCTAGTACGCCACCACCAAGTAGAAACTATATTTACTGGATCTAGTTTTTTTATGTGGAGCCCAAGCAAGGAATATGGGGAAGGGATAGAAGAGAAAACCAGTATATGTACTAAATCTTGTATGTTGTTTCATGTGGGACCTATGCAAGGTATATGGGAGAAGTAGAAACTATATGTACTGGATCTAGTATGTTGTTTCATGTGGGATCTATGCAAGGTGTATGAAACTATATGTACTAGATCTAGTATGTTGTTTCATGTGGGAATTATGCAAGGTATATGGGAGAAGGTGAAAACAATCAAAGTAGAAACTGTACAAAAAAGAAAACAATTTTATTATATTGTATCAGTAAAAAGTTAACAAGATCATTTGTTCCTGTATAATCCTAATATATTTTAAAAATTTAAAAACAACAACCTGGAAACAAGTCCTGAGGTTTTTAACTGTTAAAATCCACAAACATGTACTTTGTGCGTGTTTGATTGTAGAAAATGCTGTTTAAAATATAAAAACATGCCAAAAATTAAAATGTATGCTTTAGGTAGTTGATTAGTAAAATAAATATAAAATCATACCAATTCCTATCTGGCAACCCATCCCCCACATTCAAATTCTTTAGCCGAGAGTGGCTATCGCTTGTATACTGTCCTCTATACAGTAGGCAGATTGCTGATTAAATTCACGTTGATGACATCCAAATCATGGTTGCTGTGACTTGTCAAATTGTTTTCAACTGTTGTTTTGATTATCTAAATATTAATAGTATTTAAATATTTATATATTAATCATAAACCACATCCATGGGTAATCCAAAATAAAACAAAAGTGAATATTGTCACTGCGGTAACATTTTGCTAATTTGCTGACAGGCGATACTTGTTTCTCCGGAAACTGAAGCAGTTTAAAAATAAGTATACTCTGATGTCGGGTAAGCTTATTTTTTAATAAATATATTTAAAGACATTTATAAACCAAACTTCATTAGATATCAGTGTCATTAAAATCTGCAAGAGACAACTGGCCTGGTTAATCAAGCAATTCTCTCCAGTTTTGTTTCTATCAAAAACAACATATGCCACTGCACAAACTCGTACAAAGTGCTACTGAATTTGAGTTTATTTAGTACATGTCTTTGCTGACTTCAGTGTATATTAAATGAACCAAGATAAAGTCTCATAAACTTGATTTTCTTCTAATTTTTTGGACATTGTACTTTTCAAATATGTGCAGCATGAAATTTGTTACAGACATCTTCAACCATGACGTAAACTACTAATTACATAGTATATCTACCGGTAAGTGACAGTGACAGTGTGAGCACAGTAAACGACTGACAAAGTCAAGATGATATAACATTATTGGTCCAGTAGTTTTGAACAAAAACCACAAACATTTTGAATTGATATAAAATTTAAAACACGACCCTTTCACTATATTTAAGTCAGTACTAGTAAAATTAGGAAAACATTGATTGTCCCATCGCAAAGAAAATCTGACAGTTTTTACCAACAAAAAAAACGAAAACAAAACAAAATATGCAAGGTAAGCTCTACCTTGTACATGTGTTATGGGTAAAATGTAATTTTAATTCTGGTCATCCTATTGTTTAACTTTGTACATGACTGAGACAAAGTAAACAAATAAAATATGGCCACCCTAAAGCAATATATAATATATTAATATTTATCTTAAAAAAATTAAAAATCTGTTTGACAGTATGAACTTGAGTTTCATATATGGAAATACATTTGAAATCACTTTTAATATTCCATTAGACTTAAAAGTCTAAGGATTGGAATACATGTGATGAAAACTGGTCAAAGCCTATGTATATATTGCCATCATCGTCTATTTTAGTGGGGTACACAACAGTTTTGATATCCCGTCCATTTGGATGCTTCACTTTGCCAGTTTCCAAGTCAAATTTCCAGCTGTGCCATGGGCATCTCAAGCATAAAGAATTGCCAGGGAGTTCTTCTATATCACCAATGTGAAGAGGACCACCTATAAAGCAAATGTGTACAAAAAAAAAAAAATGATGTTAAATTTAGATTGAAAATCCTTCACTTGCATTTTTTATTTACATGTAATTTGAAGGCACACAGTCACAAACAACCAGCATACTGTAAAACATGTCTTTTTCACAAGCATGTTTTTTTGGCGAATTTAGCGAGAGAACTGATTCGCTAATTCAAGATGTCGCTAATGACTTTATTATAAATTCAAAATGGCCAAGGCTCGGGAATTACACTTATTACACACTAATTACACTTGACAGTTTTACTTCCTTTTTATGGAGGTGATAACTGTGCATTTGTTTTGGCACAAGACAGACAAGTATTGTGAAAACAGAAAATCAACAATGATAAGAGAGTTTCGCTAAATCAACATTTAGCTATTATGTCATTATACCACAATTCGCTAAAGTAGTATGTCACTTTTTCAACATGTTTTACAGTATACTACCATGTTCTCACTAGAGAAAGTTAGAAGAAAGTTGCGCATACTAATTTAAAAAGATAAGAATCTCATAATCAATTCAATAATGTGCACAATAGTAGCATTCATGCATAGCTCCTTAGCATGAGCTATTCATTCAGTCCTCATCTGGGCCATCTGGCGCTTGAGGCAAAACAAGGAGTTTCCATCTGGCTCTGTCAGCCACTATCCTGGGGGCAGTCTCAAGGGACGGTCTCTTACTCCTGGGCTAAGTACAGATTAAATCGCTCCAGATCCTTAGCACGAAGTTTGTGTGTGTACGCTTAGGCTACACCGATTTAATTTTATGGATGACATCCGCGCGCGCATTAGTTTTCGCCTGTTCTCAAAACA